TTCCTCTTTCTTTCTATTAATCTATCAATCTACCTCTTCATTCATTTATTAAATGTCCCTTATACCTGCAATTAAGCTCTATGAAACAAGAATATTTACTGTATTATAGCAAATGTTAATCATTATTAAAAGTCCATAATTAATTCATCTTAAAATATTTCATTATTAAATAATTGACAAATAACAAATTAATATTTAATTAATAAATGTTATTAATTAAAATTAAAATTAAGCTTTATGAAACAAGAATGTTTACTGTATCACAAGTCCCTGGAAGAGTGCTTGATACATAAGATAGTCTCAATACATGTTTGTTAATTGATTGAATAGATTAATCCTCTTACCAAGATCTTTCCAAGTTAAAAAAATCATATGTCATTTCTAAAATTTTCACAGGACTCTATTCAGTTGATGTATTAAAATTAACTAAACTCTATTTTTCTTTCCATTTAGGACATTTTGAACTTTTTATTACTTTTTTAATGAAGTCCTTGATGTTTAAGTTTTGATATCAATAATTGCCTTCAACAATTGTGGAAGACAGTGTGGCAATTCCTCAAGGACCTAGAAATAAAAATTCTATTTGACCCAGCAATCCCATTACTGGGTATATGCCCAAAGGATTATAAATCATTCTGTTATAAACACACATGCACATGTATGTTCACTGTGACACTGTTTACAATAGCAAAGACCTGGAACCAACCCAAATGCCCACCAATGATAGACTGTACAAGGAAAATGTGCCACATACACACCATGAAATACTATGCAGCCATAAAAAACAATAAGTTCATCTCCTTTGCAGGGGCATGGATGAAGCTGGAAACCATCATTCGCAGCAAACTGACACAAGGACCGAAAATCAAGCACTGCATGTTTTCACTCATAGGCGGGTGTTGAACAATGAGAACACATGGACACATGGAGAGGAGCATCACACACTGGGGTCTGTTGAGGGGGATTAGGGAGGGACAGCGGAGGTTAGGGAGGTTGCGGAGGGATAACATGGGGAGAAATGCCAGATATAGGTGACGGGGAGGGGATGGAGGCAGGAAACCACATTGCCATGTATGTACCTATGCAACAATCCTGCGTGATCTGCACATGTACTCCAGAACCTAACATTAAAAAATATATATTAAAAAAAAAAAGTTGGAAGGAGACTAGGAAATTGGCTGTGTTAGACTAGCTGAGACCATGATTACGACTGTTAACTTGGAAATATTCCTAGATACGTGAGATAAAGTAAATAATTTTATCATCCTCTTTCAGAAAATCTCTTGAAGTTCATGAATTTTGCTTCTTTTATTCCAGACTAATAATCTATTACATTATTAGAGGGCACAATTTTTCAGGTCATGGCTTTTCAGATTATTCAAAGTCAAGGAATCTCCATGTTTAAAAATTATTCAAAATACAGAAAATTTGGTGATCCATTTCAAAAAATAATAATAGTTGCCTTAGGATGATCTTAGAAGCAAAATTCTAGGGTCAAATGACATGCATATTTGAAACATTTTGCCAACCTGCTCTTAAGAAACACTGATACAAATTTACACTTTCAACACAATGTATGAGGGTCCTTAATGTTCCACACTCTCAACAATGTTTATATCAATTTTCTTTTTAAATTTACCTCTGTCCCCAAACCATGACTAAAAGCAGGTCAATGGTGAGAGAAAAGTACTTTTAAAGCGGTGCTTAAGTACTTTTCCACTAAACTATTTCACTTTACCTGAGTTGGATGAATCACAAAATCATTTACATATCCATGAATTAAAACTTGGTGTAATAAGAAAATACTGCTTTATAATGTGATACACTTCATTTACTAATTTCTTCATTAAATAATTCTAATGTGTTTTATTAGTCACACAACACTAAAGGGTATACAATATACTGATTGTGGATTTATTATTCCTTCTTTACTTCAGTTTAATGGAAATGAGCTTTTTCCTTCTTAAGGATATGCCAAAATAACACTTTACTCATAAATAAAACCATTTCCATATTTCTTAATAAAGTTCTAAAGTAATTTGAAATAAATACATGGCTATGAGTTATTGAATGTCTTATAAGTTCCATAAATCCCATGAGATGACAATTATTCATGTATGTATCAACCTTAGTTCTTAACACTTTTACCTACAAATGTAAGATATCAGTAATCAATTTTAATCTTCCAATAATTCTATGTATAGATAGAAAGATAACAATGTACATTTTTCTTTAAGTTCTATGAGGCATGGCGTTCTTTCTAGTAATGTCATGATCCAAGTAACAAATATACATATCACGCTCTCCAAATTAAGTCAGACAATCTTATAGTTTTATTTATGTGTACATGTATATTTACGTATAACAATACTAAATAATTCTATCTGATATATAAGAAATTTGGCGTCCAACCAAAAAAGGTCTTAAATGGTATTAAACTAAAACAAAATTACCAGTGCTTAAATGAGAAATAATAGGGTAAATAAACATTTTTTTCTTATTTTATTACTAAGAACATTATGATATGAAAGACTATCATGCACAAAATAAACACTGACACACAGCATATAACAAATAGAATTATCACTGTATCTTTTGATTATATAATAATTTTTTAAAAATCAAGTGATATCATGTATTAGTTGTCTCTAGCAAAAGTTAGATGCTAAATTACAAACAGAAAGGGACTATTATCATTTTAGATCAAAAACAATATTAGTACGTATATATTACTATTAAAAATAATAGAGAATTCTTCGTTATATTGATCAAAAAAAACCGACCTAAGTAAAACTCAATTAAAAATTAAGAACCTATTTAGAGACTTGATAATATCACACTTGAATCTTTTCCTTGATTAGATCAATGTAACAGAGTCTACACAATGGAAAGTTAATCTTTAATTACCAGAATACAGCATATTAATTGAATTGGCCCTGGGCACCTACTAAATCTATGTTAGAGAAATATTTTGGATGGTATACCTTAAGGTAGCAGATTAAATTTAAAAGAATAATTCCATAATTACTACAATATCTACATGTTAGAGGATATAAAATTCCGTATATCATGGTATCAGATACAGCCTCAGAAGTCCATTATGGCTTTTTCTAATGTGTTGATTATAGAGGCATGTAGGGTTTCTGTTATCATCCCTTTGAAATATGGGCCACTTTAATATTCAGGATGGCTAACTTCATGGATTACCGGTATTAAACAATGTAATGAACTCTTTCTTCATTTCACAAGCTGTCTACTCTGCAGCTGTATAGTAACTTTGACAGTCACTATGTCTTTGACTTCCAAATAATAACCATCTTTAAAATGAAGACATTTCCCTTACCTCTCAAATTCCTTTAGAAGCTAGTGTTGGCTTAACATTAAGAAGAAACATGTTTCATATTATGATAAGATCTTATACTTCAAAGGAGCTTCAAGTGTTCTAAAAATGTCTTTGAAATATAGTCTCATTAATCCTTTTATTTTCATGAGGCAAGTAGGTGACAAATATCTCAATTGTGAAAAATAAAAACTAATGAAACAATTATCTAATTTACTTGCCCTATTCTAAATACTGAAGCAAATAATAGTCATAGTGTAAATCCTGGCACTTAACTGAAACTCTAATTTTCATTCCATTGTAATAATTTTTCTGCAGGGGAGAGTAAAGGAAGACAGACAAAAAAAATTAGAAAATATGATACTCAACATAATCTACTTCATGAGACCCAGAGATTAATATTATTTCTTATTTACTTGATTGTGCTTGATGATAGTGATGGTGCTGTAACTTCAAAGACTTATTTCCCTGGATGACCACATATTGAGTGTAGTCAGGGACACACTATAGGAGTTTGAATTCTACTTCATAACAAGGGTGCAAAATCAACAATGGTGCAATAACTCAAGAGAAGAATAAAAATAAAAAGCTAAATTTCGACTTAAAATGAACCTAAAAGCTGCCAATATGCCTGATTCCTAAAAGGCAATGAGAAACAAAGCAAGCCTCTGGATCTCAGGCTAACTTGGTGGACAAGTTATACTCTCCTGCTTTGGTTTTTCATTAAAAACTTTGAAAAAAAAAAGAGTTTCTTCATTCTGTTTCATTTTTTTCTCCATATGCTCATAAAAATTAATTACAACAGTTTGGTTGTTTAGTGGAAATGCATTTGTAAATTACTGATAAAAATGATTGTTCCTGTTCTTTATCTAGTTTTCCTGTGTAAAATAGCATAGTAACTGACTTATCTTCATTTCCAGCAAGAGTTATTGCATTCATTTTTAGAACAGGAATGCTGTTACTGATAGCTAAGACAATCCAAAATTTAAAAACTAAAATTATTTCAGGAATTGTAAATGCTCAATTAAATGCTTATCTTTATGTAACTGCTTTCCTTATATTAGAAAAAAATAAAAATAATTCCATACAACTGGCTTGATGTATATCTTCTATATGACTGATTTTGAAAATCAGAATAAAGTGCCTTTCTCCTCTAACAACTTTAGCATTTTATGAATTCTGTTTTTTTCCCTAATAGAATGCTAGATTACTTTATTGGCATTAGCAAAAGTGGTAAAACTGTCTTTGGTAAAATTAAGAGACATAACCTGTCCACCCCACTACCCAAAATCTTCTTACATTTGAAGAAACAACTTAAAAATATTTCACTAAAGAAGTATTTGCTTTTTTGGTTTTGTCCTACATACTTAGGTAAATGCAAATGTGTGTTTACAATTACAGTAAGTCCTCACATCACATCATGGATAGGTTCTTGGAAACTAAAACTTTAAACAAAACGATGTACAACACAGCGGGTCCTCAGACAATGTTGTTTAGTTCAGTGTTATTTTGTTATAGCACTGATGAGAAAAATGGTTTTGTTCCACATTATTTTACTTAACTTTTCAGTCTTCAAGAACCTACCAATGACTCTGGCTATTTTAATGGAAACCTTAGAATTTTTTTTCCTAGTAGCTTTATAAGGACTACCTAGACTTACCTGGCCCATCAGTCATTTTTTCTAGACACCGAGGAGTTGCACTAAGAAAAGAGGCATGTTTTCTTTTAGCCACTAAACTACGAGGTGGCATATATTTATGCTTAACTTGGGACATCTCATATGATTTGTGAACATCATAGCTGCCTGGTGCTGGAATAACCTGAAAAAAATTTTAATAGATGAGCATAAATATATATTACATAAAAAATATTCAAGAAGGTATCAGGTAGATGGTTACAGTAAACAATGAGTAGAAAAATCCTAAAACTTTTATTAATTAAACATTAAAAATAGAAAGTTAAAAAAGGATTCTTAAATCTGTATCCTCCTAATAAAAATGTAAATTTACTTGCCAAAGTTAAAGTAAAATAAATGGAATTATGAACTTTAGGACCATATTATTTAGAAACTAGCTTTCATGATATAGATGATAAAATATATTCTAATTTAATTATGAAGATCAAATTGCATACAGGAATGAGAGCAATGATTACCTGTTTCCCTAAGCAGCAGAACCATTCCTGTTTTACTGTTCTAAGTGAACATACTTCACTTATTCAACCAACTGAGACTGCTTATTTCATTTTTAACAGATTATAATTAAGTTAGAAGGCTTCCTCTTTCATCATGTATGGTTCTTTATATGATCTGCAGTCACAGTAACATTTTTAATCAGCATGAACCCACATGGATATTAATAAATACAATAATAATTATAAAGTAAATGAAATATAAGTACCATATATTTGTTGGACAAGTAATATCTTCAACAATTAGCTAGATTTCCCAGTGAAAACTTTTTTAAACTCATTTCCTAAAATTATTTTAAAATAACATATTCCTTTGAAATCTGTTCACCTAGATTATATATAAAGACCAAAACTTTTTAAGTGTGAATAATTTCCCAGTAGGCAGAAAAGTGTTATGTCCAAGCATATGGACTCTGTCACTAGACTTCCTGGGTTCTAAATATCTGCTGCTTACAGCTATGTGACCTTAACCTCTGTGATACTCAGTTTTCACATATGTAAAGTAAGAAAAATGATAGTACTTATTTCATAATATTATTCTGAGGATTAAATTAGTTAAAATGAATAAAGTACTTAGCTAACTTGGTACCTGTTTCTATGAAAGAATTAAGCTAATCTTACTATTCTAGAAAATCTAATTTAAATGCAAAAAAAAAAAAAGGCTGAACAATCAGGGTTTGAGGTATCAGGGAAATATTTTAAAGTTTCAAATAAGTCAAACAAATTTGGCTACTGGAAAGCATACTTTTGAAGTTTCTCTAGGAGCCATATTTTAGAAATATTTTTTCTTGTTCCTTACATCCATATTATCACCCTCAAGCATATGCTAACAACAGCACCTTCCACTTCCAAGGAATCACAAAATATGGCAAGATCATGACTGGGGTAGGAGATTCTTACATGAAATCCCACTTCTGGTTTTAGTCCCATGTTAAACATGAAATGTCATGATAGGTAAGTCATCTAACAAATGCTAGAAGCCATTTTCTTTTTGCCCACATCAAGAGTATATATAGTAAGGGTAGACTGAAAATAAGCAATAGCGCCAATATTTCCTTGTGTATCTTTTGGGGCTGCCTTTATAGTATGTGAAAAAAAAACTGGAAGAGATTATAAAAGCACAAAGAGATCCTGTGCACACAATATGCCCAGTATATTTAGAAAAGTTTGCAAAGACCTTGACTGTGCCTACTATACATTTTAGTTTTCTTATCAGAAGCCGTTATTGTTCCCACATCCCTTAACACCCTGCCTAGTGTCATCTTTTATTTCTTCTTCCAGTGCCTAGACTGAATATAATTGGTAAGTTTGGCTACTGCCACACAGAAACTATAACTATTTTTTTCTAATACCTTGAAGCAAAGACAAGAAATTGCAACAGTGATCAATGTTCTTTAACAATAGTTTGTTCATACCTGGAAAAGTTTGTCAAACTAGTTTCTTAAATTCCAGTAAATTCACTGCCTCTCCTAAAAATCCAATGTATATAACCCTTGTTCATGACCACCTCTTCCTATGCATATTTATTCTTCTCTGAAACTTATTCCCTGCTTGTCTACTTTACTGATGTTCCTGCCTCTTCCTAGTCATCTTCAATTCTCATTTTATCTAACCAAGAGATTAACATTTCAAGTAAATATCCTAAGCAAATGATTAATAGGACAAATCTGAAACTCTAACAACAATAATTTAAACAATACCTATATACTGTATATAAGCATATATACCCTACATAAGTTGAATACCCAACTTATATACCCTACATAAGTTGAATGCCATGTCAGAGAAAAATAGTATGTGTAGATAAAATCATCAAATTTGTTGGTGATTCTTTATACATCACAGAAAATAAAGAAGGGACATGAAGAATAGATATAATAGACATTTCCCATGGTTTTTTTAGGTTTTTTTCTTTTTTGCTTATTGCATGACTTTTTATCTCATTCCAATATTTAAATCCTGTTCCTGTATTTGGGAAATTCCACATTATGCAGCAGAGAATCTGGGTCCTAACACAAAAGCTAAAAATGTCTGGCTCTCATCTTCCTGGTCTCCTTTTTAGCTAGCACATGAATCTTGGTCATAGGTATAAATGCTAGCCTTTGAATTGTCTGCCAGTTGTTTAAAGAAACACAGAATATTAAAAATTTCATTATTGAGAGGACCAGCAGTCCTGGCAGCCACGTCCAGTTTCCAGAGGCAACGGTGGGAAGAAAAATTGATAAAGGAAATTACAGACTCAGGGAAAATGTCAGAAAATGTCTAATGAAATAAAAGATATGCATGAATAAAATTTAAAGGTAAGTCTAAAGTGTCCTGGCTTCCTCATCTGGAAAACCAAAAGCCTACCCTAAAATAACATAAAGAAGCATAGAGTTAGCATAATTAATGTACACAATAATTTTAGAATGTTTTCGACACATAAGGAGTACCACTGTTGTCTTTCATTGTTATCATCATTACCATTGACATTATTATCTTTATTAGGTATAGGACTACAGGAATCCCTTAGTGATATCTCTCTTGCCTGAAGAGAGATGGTAATGGGATATTGAAAGGGAAGTCTCTAGTATTTTAAGCTACAAGCAAACAAATCAAAAGTAGGTAAGTTGTTGAGAATCACATAAAGACTGTTCCAGGAAGTTAAAAAAAAATTCACTGGTTTCAACCTACTTCAAAAGAAGGTGGGTCAGCCTGTTTGTATTTTGGCAAAACCATCTTACATACTTTGTGATTTTATTCATTCCTGTCAAGTCAAAGTCCCTGCAAAATTCTACATGCTCAATACCCATGCAATAACTCACTTAAAACTCAAACCTAAATGACCTGTAGTCCCAGAGACAAAGAGATTAACATTCCTTTGACTGATTTCATACAAATTCAGAATTTGTATGAACAAAATTCAGAATTTCCAACTGAGTGAAATCTGAAATACTGTGAATTTTTCCAATTTCATTCAACGTTCCCTGCTATTTTGACATACGAAATTTCATATACTCTCTGATTTCAGACATGTGAAACTGCATGTAGGCTCTGATCTTCAAAACTGGTTATCAAACATCAACAAGTAAACCTCTGAGCCACAGAAAGTAATGGAGCATTCAATTCCTACATTGTCACTCACATTGTAGCATATTGCAAATAAAAATTGACCTCAAGTTTTAGTCTCAGAATAAAATTTTCCTTTACCATGCTATGGTAAAAAATCTGGAAATATTTTCATTTCATATTCGTTTTTGAATAATAGTTTTACTAACTATAGAATTTTTGCTTGACATTTTTTACTCTCAGCATTTTGCATGTCATTTCACTAATTTCTGGCCTCCACTGATTCTGATGAGAAGTCTACAATTAGCGATATTTTTTCCACTATGTAAGTTCTTTTTTCTTGTTGCTTTCAAGATGTTATCTTTGTTCTCTTTCACTAGTTTGACTATAATGTGTCTAAGTGTGGATTCTACTTAAATTTATTCTACTTGAAGTTCACTGAATTTCCTGGATTCATAGATTAGTGTTTTTTTTTTTATTACATTTGGAGAGTTTTCAACAACGATGTCTTCAAATATTTTTTCTGCTCCTTTCTTTCTCACCTCTCCTTCTGGAACTTTTATTATTCATATACTGGAATACTAGATATTGATCAAACTACTCATATTGTTAAATCTTTTTCTCTGTTCTAATAATTGATTTCTATTGATCTGTCTTTCAGTTCATTAATTATGTCTGCCCTCTCAAATCTTCTAAGTCCAGTTAGTAAATTTTTTATTTATGTTTTTGTACTTTACAACTCTAGAATTATTTTAATTCTTCTGTTTGTTTCTTTGCTTGCTTCTATGATCTATTGAGATTCTCTATTGGCTCACTGCTAGCACGTTTTTCTTTAATTATTTAAACCTAAGGTCCATTAATTCTTTGAAAAAAAATTTTAATAGCTGATATTTACATATCTAGTAAGTTTGGGTTGAAAAGTGGATAATTTAAGATAAGATAGCAACTCTGGATGTTTTTCTTTAATGAGATTTGCTGTCCATTTCACGTAAGTTTTCAAATTTCAAATATGTTAAGAATGCAAACTGTTTGCTTACTGCTTTCAGAATCTGTAAAGATGTCCTTATTTTCATTTCTGAAATTTGTCATTTAAGCCATTTCTCATTTTTGCTTAGTAAGTAACATTATAAGGTGGTTTATTCTATTCTATCTCTTAAGATAAAGAGATTTATCTAAATATATACAATAGGTTTACTTTTATGTTTGAATTTGTCTCTTTCTCCGTAAAGTTATGTCAATATTTGCTTTGCATATATGTGAAGCTGTGCATACAAGTTTAAATTATCATATTATTCTAGTTAATTTAACCTTTTAAAAATATTGACAGGCCATGACTGTTTGCTTCCAAATTGCTTTTTGCTTTAACATATTTTATCTCGAATCAAAGTAGCTACTCCTGGATTTCCACTAATGAGTAAGTTTTGATAAACCATTGTTACGTCTGCATTAAATTTCAGATATAGTAAAATTTTTAAATTATGGTTTGAAAGATATCAGAGATTGGTAAAAATAAAAAGATTTTTGTACTAAATTCCAAAAAGTAGAAGAGTCCTTCCTATGTAAATTGAGATTACAAGCTGTG